CTCGGGCTGCGGGCTGGCGCGGGGCGAGCCTGACCCCCGGCCCCGCCAGCTCGGATGGGGCTGTGCCGCGCCCCTCGCCCTTCCTCTCCCGCCCAGCTCGCACACTGGACTCTTGCTGGGGCGCAGCCGCCTCAGGGAAGAACCTGCCCTGGTTTAGGCTGAACAAGTGTCCATGGAAGGAGGAGGGCAGGCGACTCACCCTCCCGGGTCCGGGAAGACCCCCTCCCTGCGCTCTACATTCTCTCCTCCCCCCCATGGCCTGCCTGGGGAGCCGCCGGCTCCACCGCCCCTGGCGCCCAGGGAGGAACGGCCCTGCGGCCTCACTCCTTCCCGATGTGTACACCCAAGTCTGCAGCGCGCCTTGGGGGCATTTCTCCCCCTGGAGCCCTGCCACGTGCCCGTGGAGCCGCCCAGGGTCCCTGCAGGAGTGGGTCCCTGCAGCAGGCAGAGCCTTCCGTCCCGTGCTGGGGACAGATCCTCCCTGGCTAGTCCCCGGAGACCGGCCTGAGACTCCGGAGGCCACCTCTGGGTGGAGACTGTGGTGGATAAGCTCTTCTCTCTGCCGGCGGCAGGCGTGAGGAATGTGGGTTGGATTAAATTTCTGGGAACTTATTTTTGTTTAACCGATTTCCTTTCTGCTTCTAGGCCCACGATGCAGATCTTACGGCCAGAGAGACTTGCAAGGCTGGCTTCTCAGAAGAAGACTACACCGCTTTGATCTCGCCCAACGTTCTAGAAGGAGAGAAGCTACTCAAAGGTAGGACGGACGTGAGGGATGGAGGGGCAGAGGGAGGGTCCTCTCCACTGGGGAGGACCGGTGGCAAGGCCTGTCTGGTCTTGGAGCATTGCTTTCTGTGAGACAACATCTGTGAGAGGAGCAGGTACAAATCTGTCCACCCAAAAGGCACTTTGTATGCAGGTGACTGATTGAGAATCTGTTTCTTTCGAGGGTGGTGAATCACTGCCCAGGCCTCAAATGGGAATTCAGATGTAACATCACCCCTATAGCATGCAGGGAGAGACTTTCCTATCAAGTGTTTTTATGTATGAAATTCTGGATTCTTAAATTACCCCTGCTTTGAAATGCATGATAAAACAGACGATGTTGTTGGAAAGGCGGTAAATAAGCCCACAGACGTTCTGTTCGAAAATGTGGCATTCATTTTCATTACTGCCCCGGTGACAACAGAAAAACACACATGCAGCCGGGAACCACCAATTAGCTCTGTGGCAGTCCGGGATCTGGTCCACACCGCCTGCCACGGCAAGTTGGCAGCAGTTGGAGAATTCGAATGACAATAGATCATTCTGCACATTGAACTGTTTCCCTTTCAAGACAAACTTTGTATTTGCATAAGAGAAGAATTAAATCCATTCTTGGTTTCCCAGCTTGGTGCTTCAGAACTGGCCTGAGAGCATCTTGGGTAGCTAGCTGCTTTCTCTGCTTTCTCTCTCAGTCTCCATTTCCCAGAGGTGGCAGGCTTGGAGCTGATTTCAAAGTGATGGAGGAGTGGACTTTGCAGACTGTGTCAGAGCGAAGTCTCGATATTCACACTTACAGCGTCCTCAGGCTGTTCACTCGTCTGCCAGTGTTGTATTCCAGAAATATAGACTCTTCCCCTGAGATTTGACAGCAATTGTGTGTGTGTGTGTGTGTGTGAGAGAGAGAGAGAGAGAGTGACATCAATTGCTGTGTGCACATGTGGTACATGTAAGCTCTTGCTTGTACATACTGGGCAGAGATTTTAGATACTCACTCTTTTAGACCCAGCTTGATGACTTTCTTGCTTGTTCCTAATTTTGTGAGTCCTGTGACTTAGGATTCTTACTTTGCACCAAAGCTGACTTTTATTTCTTTTATTTGCTAATTTATTGCTTCCTTTTGGTTTCTGAGTCATGATACTATTGAATGTCACTGATCGTGAACACCAATAGTCTCCAGGCAGGTGGCCTGGGAGGGGAATGGAGGCCCCCCTGGAGCAGGCCCATGTGAGTGTTTTCGGATGCGCTGCCACCTGTGTGAGGGGCCGGTTTGGAGTTTGACAGGTGGCTGCTCTGTCTTTCGGAGCTCCCTATGGTTTAGTCTTGCGTGTTCATCCTGGAAGCTCCCCACAGCACCTGGGAGCTGGTGATAAACAAGATAAGATCTGACACTGTCAATTTCACGCAGAGTCTCAGAGACGTCAGAAAAAACGCCGGTCTCGGGCTGGGAAGGTGGCTCAGTGGTAGAGCACTTGCCTTGCATGCCTGAGGCTCTGGGTTCGATTCCTCAGCACCACATAAGCAAAAAGAAACAAAGCCGGAAGTGGTGCTGTGGCTCAAGTGGTAGAGCACTAGCCTTGAGCTGAAGAGCTGAGGGACAGCACCCAGGGCCCAGAGTTCAGGCCCATGACCAGACCTCCCCCACCAAAAAAAAAAAATGCCGGTCTTAGTGATGACAAGGACTGCCCAACAGAAGAGGCAAACATTTATGTATGTGTGTGTATGTGTATTTAGTTATTATTAGCAGTACTGGGGTTTGAACTCAAGGCTTTGCGTTCACTAGGCAAGTGTTCTGCCCTTTGAGCCATACACCAAGTCTTTTTTGCTTTAATTATTTTTCTAATAGGTCTCACTCCCTGCACCTACCCAAGCAGCTACACTACCATCTTCCTATCTATGTTTCCTAGGTAGTTGGGTTGGCAGGCACGCTTCCGAATTTTGATTGGGATCTTGCTGCTACCTTTTTGCTTTGGCTGAACTTGAACCGCAATTCTCTTCACCTCTGCCTCCCTTGTAGCTGGCAAGAGCCCCCATGCCTGGCCACATTTCCGTGCTTTTCCCCATGTACGGTGAGATTTCAAACAGGTATCCCTCCCCTGTTGTGGGTGGGCACCCCCGCTGGGCTGCGCGCTGCCACTGGCAGGTGTGGAGAGGAAGCTGGACAGTGGGCAGAGCTTTGGCCTGGCCCATGTCCACCTCCCAGCACCCGTGATCCTGGGTCATTCCCTGGCCCTCCTCTGCGGTGGGCTGTGGGCACAGGTCACGTTGCTTCTCCCCTCCCAGATTGCACCCCACACGCACGTTTTCTCCTCCTCGCTGCTAAGGTGTAGAATGCCCAAAGCGAAGGGCTGTTTTCATATCTTAGAAATAATTTTACACATGTGACAGCAAAAACTGAAACTGATGGACTCAAGTCAGGACATGCACAGTCTCGCTATGTGCGGGAAACTTTGCAGACCTGACAACCAGGAGAGGGTGACCACGTGAAAAACAAATAAGCCCGGTGTTTCCAGTTGGAATCCAGCTAAATAGGCAATGACTGCTTATAATTGAGTTATTCCAACAGAGAGAGCTTAACCTTAATTTGACAAGCAGAGCTTCGAGAGCCGGGTTTGCTGTGAATGCGCATGAGGCATTAGCGGCCGCTCGTGGGCCACCCTCTTTGCCTGAGTCAGCTCCACTGCAGCCCCAGCACACACGGATTCCAGCAGGAGTGATTTGTTACACAGTAATTAACTTGTTTATGATAAATGGGTGGAAGAAATGTCGTGGCATTTTGCTTTATGTCTAAATGAAAAGCATTTGCCTTCCAAAAATTCCATGTTAATTAGGCTTAAAATAGTTTTCCCCAACAGGGTAACAAATACTATCTATTGTGACCCTTTAGAGAAAAGGAGCCACTCAGATCAGAACAGAAAGGCAGGGTGCTCTCTAGGCAGGCTGGTTTGCGGGGCTGCTGGGTCCCTTGGGCCACATGCTTCCTGTCTGCTTGGGAGGACAAGCGTTCGAATGTGTTTGCCCGTACACGCGCAGCTGTCATTCACTTTGGGCCCTGATTGCCGGCGTGCGGTGGCATCTAAGCCAGGTTGGTCAGGGCACTTTCCGAGGGTTAACAGCGCCAGCTCTGAGCCTTGCTGGAGTCTAGTGTCTCCTCTGTGAATAATTAATGATCAGCCGGCCCAAGTGGGAGGAGGAGGGGGCAGCCGGATGCAGTGCCCTGCAGTGCCAGCCAGCTCCGTGGACAGAGCCGGGGCCAGCCTCACAGTACAGCCGCAGGACTTGGGGCGGGCAGCGGCAACACGGCTGCAAAGGACGACTGCGCGTTGTCTCCACATCACGGATGAAAGGTGGCAGGTGAGCAGAGACATCACCCAGGCGGAGAGTAGGCTGGGGTCTGGAAGTCACTCGAGCTGAGGGAAAGAATAAAGCAGGGTGAAGAGTTCTGTGTTTGATGACCTCATTTCATGAGACTGGTTCAGAATACCTTCCCCCTACTGTCCCCAGAACCTCCGCACAGCTCATGTACCCCCCCCCCCATGCTTCCCCTGGGTTAATTGGCACTTTGTTATGATCACTTATTTCTTTCCTAAACTGAAGTCGTGGAAGCCTGTCACAATTGTTTACCACATCTTTGGGCCAGGCTGTACTTGGCAGACAGGGTAAAACTTTCCAACAGAATCTAGAATACATTTTTCTTGGTCAGTGATATAGTCAAGGGCTAGAGCCCAGACTTTATCTTCCTACCATCCTTAGCATGTTCGTTTGTTGCCTCTTTGTGGCAACGTAGCTGCGGCAGCTCCCCGTGTTCTATCTGAGATCAGGGCAGAAACAGGGAAGAGGAGCACTTCTTTCTCACAGGGCCTGCAAGCATTCTTATTGGCTGGAACCAGGTCACATGTCACTCTGCTGAGGAAACAGAATTGCCTTGTCGTGTTTGGCTTAGGCTCCTTACCACCCCTCACCTTGATGAGGATCACACTCGGGAAGACCTGGGATTCTGGGGAGGAATGGACACTGGGCACAGTGGGCCTGGGCACCAGCCAGGGAGTGAGAAACTGACCCACAGGGAACACGGCTGGGGAAAAGAGGTGGCAGCAGCCAGCTGGCTGGCTGGCCGGCAGGTGGCTTTGGTAGGTGCATAGGCAAGCAGATGAGCCTGTCCTACCCCAAGCCCAGTCCTGGGTGCTGCGCCCCCATGTGGCTGGAAGATGCCACACGGCCTGTGTGCAGCTGGCATGATCAAAATCCTGCAGGCTTTAACATCCTCCTTCTCTCTTCGTAGTGACTTCTAATGTCCCAGCCCACTTGTCTGACCACCACCCCTATTTAAATATGCGTGTAGGCTCTTAGACAAAGGGAGCCTTGCAGCCTCTCCCTGCTCAGGGGTGTCCAGTTAGGTTAGACTGGGAAAGCTGCGTGTTATATATATTTCCTAAGAAAAAGGAAAGGCCTCTACTGGTGATGTCTTCTGTCCTTTGTCCTTATTTTTTCCTTCTGCCTGGAACACAAACAGGATGTCTGGGGTGGAGCAGTTGTTTCATGACTATGAGGATGGTAGAGTAGAATGGGTCTCAGTGCACCCTTGAGCAACTACAAGACTCAGAATCATTGCCTCCTAAGAGGAGAGAACAATCAGGCGAAAACGCTGCCCACCTCGCAGAACCACATGCAGAGCCTGCTTTGCACCTTCTTGGCTATCTGCAGGGCTGTCCTAGACTGCAATGGCCTTCAGGTTTATGGTAGCTTTTCCCCGTGTTCGCAGTGCATAGGTATAAGGATAAAAGGTAAGCCAGCCACAGAGAGAAGGCAGGAAACAGGGTGGGTCTTAGCAGTCACAATCCGGGACAGAGCAGCAAGATGTGCCACCCTCTGCTTCTTTGCAGCTGCTTCTCTTTGTGCCTCACATCCCGGGTGGGAAGCCCACGCCAGGCTGTGTGCAAGGAGTTCTTGTCCCTATCACCTGCGTCCTGCGTCGTGGGATCAGCGGAGCCGAGT